AGCGTGTGCCGTGAACCGCGCCCGCCCGCCTGTCTGCCAGGTGGCCGCAGCTCTGGGCAGACAGTCCAATGCCCCTCTCCTGTCCTCCTTCCCCCTCAGGCCACTTCCTTCACAGTGGGGGGCCGCGGACCCTGCTGTGCCTGGAGAAGCATCTGTACTTCACCCTCTCCGTGCTGGAGGATGGGGAACAGCTCACGATGGCGCAGCTCCAGCTCCAGTTCGGCCACAACTCGTACCGGGCCCCCGGTCCCGGGCAGGTGTTCGAGCTGAGGCTGTACCGCGCCCCGCCGCCCTCCTTGCGGGAGCTGCCTTCCCCGGCGGCCCGCCGCAGGCTCCTGCTGGCACAGTCCTTTGCGCAGCTGCACAAGTTGCTCCTCTTCAACCTGACCCAGGTGGGCAGGGACTGGAGAACCCCGAGCAGGAACCTGGGCTTGGTCCTGGAGATCTCCGTGAGCAGCGGGACTGGGTCCTCGGCCTTGCTGGGCAGGCCCCCGGGGAACTTCTGTGCCGGCGCCGACTCCTTCCTCGACGCCTCCCTGCTGGTCGTGTCCCTCCAGCCGGGGCAGTGCAAGGCCTCCAGGAAGAAGAGGAGCTCCTACTACGCCCCCGTGATGCCGAGCAGCCTCTGCAAGCCCCGGCGGCTTTACATCAGCTTCAGCGACGTGGGCTGGGAGAACTGGATCATCGCGCCGCAGGGCTACATGGCCAACTACTGCCTGGGGGAGTGCCCCTTCCCCCTGACCACCGAGCTGAACAGCACCAACCACGCCATCCTGCAAACCATGGTGCACTCGCTGGACCCCGAGGGCACCCCCCAGCCCTGCTGCGTCCCCGTCCGCCTCTCCCCCATCTCCGTCCTCTTCTACGACAACCACGACAACGTGGTGCTGCGGCACTACGAAGACATGGTGGTGGACGAGTGCGGCTGCAGATAAGGACGGGTGATGGATGGCTCGGGGCGGGGGTTGTGATGGAACCGGATCTCCTGGCAGTAGACTGGGGTCTCCCCTTGGTGCAGCTCGTGTCGAGAGCTCCCCCTGCCCCTTTCCCGATACCTGGGTGCAAGATGCATCCTCACAGGGGAGATCTCAACCGCTGGCACCAAGGTGCACAAGCTGGCATGAATGGTGCAGGATTTTCCCCCAGATGCCGACCCGCGGGGTGAACTCTGCTGCCTCCCAGTATAAAGAACTGCACAGGCTGATGTTTGAGCGGGAGCTCGTTTTGCTGCTCATGCCTGACGGCAGATACCACCCCGTCGCCTCCTGCGCTAGTCGGAGGTCCAGGCAGCGTGCGTGAGCGTGGGAAGGGGAGGACTGTTCTGGTGCTGTGAGGACAGGATTTTGCAGCAAGGTTGATGCTATAAAGAATACTGCCCCAAGCTCCTTGCTGGTAGAAACCAGTCTTTGGCAATGCTGCAGCGAGCCTATATGGACTTTGGTGACCTGGCTAATGTCGGGCCTCAGTTACCCACACCCCTTTCCTTTCTGCTGAATGGGCTGTAGTCTACTCCCTGGCTTCAAGTGTTACTAGTGCCCTGTCTTAAGCCTAGGCTGGCTGGCCGGCCCTGGAGCGGACAGCAAAGAAGAGCAATAGGCTGCACACAGACTAGTCCTTCCTCTGGCGTGTTTTCCTCTTGCTCTTTTGCTGTTAAGACTCCCAGTCCGTGCCCTCCTGAGCACTCTGCTGCCGCCTGTTCCCAGCCCCTGCACGCTGCATGAGCAATACCCTTGTTTCGGGAGGGAGGGAGGGAGGGGGGTGGGAACGGGTTATGCACAGTCTGTTCCCAGTGGGGAGCAGAGAATCTGGTTCATACAGAAACTAATTTAATGCCATCTGGGTGGCTCGATTCCCCACTGACACACCAAGGACTCAGCGAGGTGCAGGAGCAGGACCTGGCCAACTTGCAGTTGTGCGGACTAGTCTTGGCTGGCGCTAGAGCCTTGTCTTTCACATGCAGCGTTAAAGCAACAGGGACATGTGATCTGGTCCCAGTGTCCGGGGGGCTGGCAGGCCACAGTTGTGTTCAAGGCACTGGGAGCAGTGACTGACTGCTGTGAACTACGTAGCACAGCGTGTGTGGGTAGCTGCAAAATCTCCGCCGGCCTGTGCTGAGCCTGAATCCAGCCCAGCGGAGGCTGCTGAAGTCCCTCAACGGGTCTCTGGGCTCTTCTATTAGAAGAGTCTCAAGCCAGCATTGCTCTCTACATTAACAGCATGGTGTTGCCACCACCTTCCTACTTTAATTCACAGCAAATGTGCCGGATGCTAAGTGAAGTCTTTCTTGTAATCTGCTTGAAGCCTGGGCAAAGCTACCAAGTCATCCCTGTCTTTAGTCAGGCCGGAGGGTCTGTGTGCATTATGCAAGCGGACGTGCTTTCCATCAGGAACCCAGCGCACCTCCTGTGGCTTCGGGGGAGCAGCCAGCAGAACAACTCCCCCATGCACTGAATCATCTCTCTGACTTCATCTGATCACAACCTGCTTCTCCACCCTTGGTCTGTTGCAAGCAGCAGAATCAGACCGGAGCCGCTGCTGCTGCTCCCGAGGTCACAGGACGGTACGGAGACACCTGCGTGTAGAGGGTGCCTGGCGGGGGCTCTAGTTGGAGCAGGGCAGTTGCATTGGCCGCAGTCTCTCTCTGGTGGGGGGGGAGAGAAGGAACAAGGGATCTGAATTAAACTTGAAACTTTTTTCTTTTAAATGCAAGTCAGACAAACTAGTGCAGGCTGTTTTTGTACTTATTGCATCTTAATGTTTGGACTTTCGAGTGTTAACAGGATGGGTCTTTTTCCCTGTGGGGGAGCTAAAGGTTTAACCACTTTTCTTCTAAGTTATTTTAATTAGTTTTCAGGGAAGTCAATGAACTTGTGTTGTGCTCACTGATAACATGCCTAAGTTTAGTTGGTTGAACAGGAACCCAGTGGGGCAGAGACCCTGCTGCGCCGTAATGGAAAGTCACCGCGGTCCCACCCAGGCGCCGTGCTTGTGCCCTACTGTTTTCAAGTGTCCTAATTTAGAAACTTAACTGAAACACTGGTGAAGGTGGAGTTTGGCCCTGCCTCTCGAAGCTTAGAGGACAGAGGGGTCCAATTTACTGTGATAGTTCAGCAGGAGCTCACAGTTACTAAAGCCTATGAAAGCATGGAGGGTGTGTCTACTAATTGCTGTAATGACATGACTTAAGTTGGGCTGGGCCCCCTCCCCAGAGCTTTTTAACACACATCTCTGAAGGCAAGTGATTAGTTTATCATCTAAAATAATAATAAAAAAAATAGCATCTGCCTCTCACAGATTGTTTCTGTGCCAAGGAAAGGGCTTAAAACTTAGTATATTTAGGACACATCTGGGCATGCAGGAGGCTTTTCACCTGGACCCCACCTGTGCTTGCCAAGCAAATGACTTGGAGAAGGCAGCGGAGTCAAAAGTGAGGATTCGTACCAGTCTTGTCTTGAGAGCCAGAGCAGACAGGGATGAAACAGATCCTTTCTGCCGAGCAGTAGCTGTGAAGTCATGTTAACCCACTAATGCAACATAGCTGAAGCTGGCTGCTGACCGCAGTTTGATCACAGGGCAGAATGAGCGCGGCAGCCTAAATTCCACCAGCGCCAGATGTCTGGCTGCTCTACCACGTGCATCTGGGGGCGACGAGACCAGGCCTAGACGTCGCTATAAAGCCTGTTTGAAGGGCTTCCTTAGCGAATATAACAGTCTCGGTTTACCAACAGAGCAAATAAGAGCTCTGAGAAGGTGTAGATGCCCACGCAGGCATGTCAAATCGGGCACTATCTTACCCCCACTTCCAGCAGAGGGCGTGAGGAAGTCTTCTTCCAGCTTGCGTGTCACTTCTCATGGTTTTTTACAAGCCTTTTCCAACCCACATCCCTGCTGTGCAACATCCACGCATGGGCACAGGCCGTGCCTCGCCGGGCTCCTGACCGTTCCCATCGATGCTCGTTCTCAAGGCATGTGCAGGACTGGACAAGCCCAGAGGAGGAGACCTGGGTAGGGCATTTACCTTTAACAGACTTTTCACGGTTCATTTGCTTACTCATGTATGCTCTGTACACCCCACTTTTGTACTAGGTTGTGTTAAAAAATGTAATAAAACATGAGAAGTTTATACAATCGGAAACCGAGCCAAACTTCAATGAAGGTTTTCGAAAAGGGCCCAAGCGAGGATGGAAATAGAGAGGCTCCAGCTTGAATGCAACAGCTGTTTATTAATATTTTTATTGATGACAAACAGGTTTAAAACAAACAGACAAAATCAAAAGAGTAACATCGTGCTAGCACTGATGTCTGTGGTTTTATAAAACTCAGAGTAACTGCTAAAGGAAAAAACAGCACAAAGCAGAGGCAAGCATTCCAAACAGTGAAATAAGGGGGGAGGGAAGAGAAGGGGACTACATACCCAATGGATTGCATTGCACAAAGGGTTACAGCTTAAACCTAGCTCAAAACTCTATGTGACTACACAGCCTACCCAGAAGGAAAACAAATTAAAAAGCCCTTCGGCAATGTTAATAAATAAAAGAGTCTATCTTACGTGAAGGAAGGTGGCCTGTGTCTCCATTCTCTGCACGTTTTGGAAGTCTAAACTCTGGAGGCTTTGTATGGCAAGAACGGTCGTTTCGATCGGGAGGGGCTTTTAGGTTATTTTGCTGATTTGGAACAGCGTTCTCTCTGCAGGAACACACAGATTAACCCCTGCTCTAGCGTGTGCACACTACTCCGAAAACCTGGTTATGCTACACCTGATCTATCCTGGGGCAAGAGACACTCTTGAAAAGCTACAGCAAGTACAAGTGATGAAAGCGGGTCCACAATCTACAGAAAGGACAGTCATGAAAGGGGGGTTCCCAATTACAAAAAGGGGGCAGACGTTATTTGCAGTACATTCATATGAGAGGCATTTTAAAGTCCTCAAAAAAAAAAAAAGAAAAAGAAGAAAACAAAGACTAGAAACACTTGGAGCCCTTTGATTATAAAGCTAACTTAATTCAATCTTTAAAAACACCTAGATTAGCGAGTCACTCTACTGATCTTGGCCAATTAGGAGGTAGAGGTTATTCTAATTTAGGGATTTGATAAAAATGGATTAGTAGGAATCGAAGTTCTCTGCACTGTTTCTAAAAAGGTTTAAACACAAATAAAATGCTCCCAGTGTTCCCATCCGACTTAAGACATGGGTACAACTTAGAAACTGGATGGCTTTTTTGATGTGCTGTTTTCAGTTGGACTCCCAGCTATTTCTCAAGCTAGGACCGATGCCTCAGCTGCGTCTACTAACTGAAAAGAAGTCTCCGGGTTTAACTTTAACACCTGCATCTTTCAGCTATCTGCATTAAATCACTGAAGAAGCCACACAAAAGCCTAACCCGTGATCTCTAATTATACCCATCTACCAGAGGCCACCTTCCAACATCTGCCTGCTTTTCCCATGTTTTTTCCAACCTGCTTTGATACCGTTATAGAGTCTTTACTTCAAAACCAATATAATCCCCAGTTTCCACTACTTCTTCCCAACGCTAGCGGGAGTGAATAATGCAGGCCTTCGAGTCTTTTCCTCCAGGGCCGAAGGGCACAGGAACCCATCCCCTTTTAAGCGCACAGTTCATCTTACAGAAAGGCTTGTTTTCACAGAGTAGAGTCCAGACAGTAGCCAATTAAAGCATACAGAAACACTTTGAAACCCTCCTCCTGCTCGAGCGCGCAGGCTCCTTTCCCTCTAACTGCTATCCATTGTAGGAAGAAGAGGCTGATTGCTGCAACTTTGAATCACACTGAAAGTTCCAGGCTGGTGTTTGTTCTAATTTAGGTTTGTAAGCTTCTCAGAACAAGGATCTCCCAGGTCCACCACTAAGAATTCAGAGACAAACTTCTAAAAATCCAGTGCTCCTTTGAAAGGATCTCTTTAAAACCACCTTGCCGCGAAAGACCCGTTCAGAAAGCAGGCGGCACGATGACACTAGAATTTCAGAGCCAGCTTTGGACAACAAAACCTGCATCTCAGAGTTCGGCAGCGCCGTGTTCTGCGGGCTTTCTGCTCGGCTCGCTGTCGCTTTGGGACAGGATCTTTCCTTTCAAATCCTCTGCTTCTAAAGCGCAGGCAGCTGCTGTGAGGATATGGAACCTCTTTAAGGGAAAAGACAACGGAAGAACTCTGAGATGAGGGTTTTCCTCTCCCCTCTGCTCTGAAAAGCAAAGCCCTGCTCGCAAAGAGAAGTATGGAATGAAGTGAAACCTGCTTAAGGCCCTTCTCTCGAGCTTGGTTGACTGGGGGAGCAGGGACTCAGCTGACCACTCATTTTTCCAGGGCGAGTTGCCTTCCCAGTGAGGCGCCAGCCAGTCCTTCGGTGCTCTCTCTCCTCTCCGGTCAGTCTCCTTGTCTCAGTGAGCTAGCAGTGGGCTCTCTCGCGCGCGCTCCTTTCTCTCCTCTCCGTTGGTTGATTTCTCTCTCTCCTGTTGCTCTCACACAGTGGTGCTTCAGTTTTAGCAGTGGAAAACAGGTATCCATTTTATTTTATTTTTTTTATTACCCAGAATAAAATGCTGATGAACTAAGCTCCACATAAGCTTAGCTCTTCTTCCTCAACCTAAGGGCAGAAAGAGAGAGCGGCGACGTTACTGACTGGTCTCCTGCTGGCACACCCAATACAGCTCGAGTCACGGGAGTAAGGAAACAACCGACCCCCTCCGCGCCTTACACTCTAATACTGTGACAATCCCGTCACTCCACCGTGTTGATATGCACGTTCACCCTGGTAGGTAGAATCCTGTGACAGCGCCACATCAATCTGAGATTTAAACTCATCACCAAGGTAACTGTCCTGAAACGAGAGACGTTCCGTCATTACCACAGGAGTCGGAGACTTAAATTCCCAAGCGTGTTGGGTGTTTAACGGCAGTTCGGAGCCCTTGGCCTCTAATCAGCTCTGCTGCAAATCCAGCTGACCCCGTGACAGAGCAGCAAGTCTTACTGTAACGCCCAATGTGTGTTCCGGGAAGGCACCGAAACTCTCACCTTGCAGCAAGGAGCCAGTTTAAGCTTAGGGCCTAGGTGGAAGTGAGAGTACCACATAAAAATGAATGGCACCATCGACATATGGGAGATGCAGGCAACACCAGACTACAAGGGTGCACCTCAAGGGGCCACTGACATTTTTCAGGCTTTGGACCTGTGGAAATGGAAGTGAAAACCACCCCAGCACTATACAAATAGGAGGATCCATATACACGCGCCCTGCCTCCATGTGCATACAGAGCCCAGCAATCTGTCGGTAAGAACGTCTTACTCCTACCTGTGATAATTCTGGCTGGGAGAGTCCTGGCTGGCTCATCTGCGACGGCTGACTCATGGAGATATAGCCCTGAGTCAGTGGACCCTGGGAGAAAGGCTGGGACACCACATCTTGGCTCGCTTGACTGTTGGGAAGGTTTGACTGGCTAGTTCCAGGAATCCCAAAACGGTTTTTCTGGCGCCCGCCACGGCCAGTCTTCCCTTTGGGTGTGCCGCGTCCTGAAAGAGGCAGCCGCGCACCAGGCGCGAACTGTTACTTCAAACGTTTTGTGAAACATTCATTGGCCATTTAAAATACCACGCGTGACGTGTACTCAGGCAACAACTTCTCTATGCATCCACGCCTTGAGGCAGCCTAGAGCAGACTGCTAGATCCCGGCAGCTGACAACTTTTCCTTAGAGCACGGATAGCGACCCTACATCGCATGCACCCAGCCTTACAGCTGAGAAAGGAAATGCAGCTTCCTGACCTCAGCCACAGTTCTGGCCCATCTGGCAGGAGTCAGTGAAAAGCAATCCTTCTCCTGAGCCCCTGAAGTGCCCAGTACAGGTTCCAGCCTT